GCGTGGCCACAGCTGAAATGGAGGGATCCGGCTGTTTCACCACTCAAGTACCAACCAGATCCCATCACACCCTGAAGCTCTTGTTCCAAGTTACTTCCAGCCCCTTCTACAAAACCAACAGCCAAGGGGAAGGGATCTGGATTACAAGCAAAAATATCGTTGGGCTGAATCCCATCGGCCCAGCTTCTGGGTGCAACCTGATGGCTGCTCAGAGGTCCCCCGCAGTATGTCTGCTGGTTCTTAATTGGGGAACCCTCGTCACCTCTGCCATGTCTGTACCAGGAGTACAGAATCCGCTGTGGTTGGCTTGTTCAGCTGTGTGCATAAGAGTTTCAGGGGGTAGCTGTGTTAGTCTGTAGGGGTGTGTCTAGACAGCAGCGCAATTTCCTGCAAAAGTCCTGCTGAGTTCCTGGGGAATTTGTCCTGAGTGAGTAAAATGGAGTAAATGACCTTCAGGATCTGGCCCACAGGATGAAATATCCCCAGAATTAGATTCTGCAATGTCTAAATGTATGAAAATCAATAGCCATTTGCATTCAAAATCTCTTCCCTAGTAGCTTTACAGTGCTGTAATACCATGCTGATTGCTGCTCTATGTACGCTTGTTACAGAGACACATACTGGTGCACTAATGTAGGAGTTTTACACTTTCCTGCCAGAGACAACACACAATTAGACAGGCCTGTTTCTACGCCCCATGTGTATTGCCAGCAGTTACTCAGCACGCGGAGAGTGAATTCCCCAGACATTGTCTTTTGTAACTGTCCAGCAGAATGGCTCACCAAGCAGAGTCCACATCCATAGAAGAATCCCTAGATGCTTAGTGTCTGGGGGCTTGTTTGGTTTCTATGTCTCACAATGGCTCTTTTTTATGTATACGACTGCAGGCCTCTGTTCTATAACATCCCACCTGTGCTGGGAACTGGTAGGGCTAGGGACAGCAGCTGGAGGAGAGAGCTGATTAGCAACGAGTCCAGTTTTATAATGTAGGTGCCTAATGTTAATCCCTAAATCCACAGTAGACACTGTAATTCCTGCTTTAGACAACCAGGGTGTGAATCTTCACCCGTGCCAAGTCGCGGGTGCTTAACAATTGTGAAAATTAAGTCACTAGGTGCTGATTCTTAGTTGCCTGCAGTGGACAATTAGCTTCCTAAATCTGGATCCAGAGGCCTGACTTGGGGCCACCACGTTGGAAAACGACACAAACCGGTCAGAGCTGCTAACAGTTAGCACTTGCCCTTGAGGACTGGAACAGCTGCAGAGACAAGCAGGGATCCTTCAAACAGATGGGAACAGAATGGCACCACAGAGGCCCCCAGAGATGCAGGGCATGAAGTAACAGACAGACGGGTTCGGGGTGCATAACGTTCAGCTTGGCAGCACCTCGGATGGGCTTTCCCTGGGCAACTATTCCAGTACCAGCTCAAAACATGTCTTGCCACTGTCTGGCGCACAGCACAAGTTTGTTACGGTGGCATCCAGTGATGCAAGAGAGAAGGCAAGTAGCTCATCCTCAACACACTGCCCTTGGCTCCCTGTGTGGTTTGGCTTGGTTCTTTGCCTGCCAATCAGAAGCTATGACTTTCCTTGGCAGCTCCCTGCCTTGGCCCATTTATCTTGCATTGGGTTTTGGGGGGAGGGTTTGGCTTAGTCCAATATAAACCTGATTAGTGCCAGGTTTAACCTCCCTGCTCCCAGTTAGAATAACATCCCAGAGTCCACCTAAGAGCAAGAGAAACCCAAGTCCATGCCATGACAAATTCAGACATCTTCCATGGCATAGTCATTAATTCGAGAGCCCTGCTGATGAATACGCAACAGTTGTACCATTTCCTTAGTAGGCTCTCCAGGGAAGACTCTGGACTTTAAATACATCCATAAAGCAGCGCTGCATATACACAGAACACTCCCCAGCAAAACGAGGCTAAGGGTGTGGGTCCGGGATGCAGACAAAAAGCTGGGTGTAGACTCCACGAGAACATCTGGTGATGCTGAAGCCCCTTGTGCTCTGTTCTGATGTAGGAATCCTGTGAAGGAAAAGACCAGAGTTCCTGGGGGTGAAATGGATTCAGGAGAAGAATAAGGAGGACCTTCCCTGCCTACAGTAGATAAGTAGTTAGCTGGGCTGGCTCCAGCCATAGACTCATGAACAGTGTCTCTTTCATCACCACTCCTGTGGCTGACAGAACCCGTGTCCCCTCCAGGAGGTGTGGGTTGGGCAGTGGAACCTCTGGTGGCATCAGCAGTACCTTTCAGAACAGTTGTGGGTTTCCTGGTAGAGTTCTCACTGGCCTGTCCCAGAGATTCAAGGCCTATAGCAGGCTTGCTGGGAACCGATTCTAGTGGAGCCGTTGTTGTCAGGAATGCAGGGGATAACTCCGCAATCTCCGTGCCATTTACAACGGCTGTAGCATCTGCAGTAAACGCACTAGGAGCACTGGCAAGTACATCAGCTGTTTGATTTCTACTAGATTTGTATGTCGGTCCTGTGGGACTCTCAGGTCGTTTGACGGCAGTGGTGGGATCTGCAATGAATCTACTGGGGACGGTGGCAGATACCTCAGTAGCTGGACTCATGGCAGAATCTGTGGACTTGTTTGCAGAGTCTACAGATCTCATGGAACCCTTGCTGCCATTGGCAGTAGGCTCAGTATAGATAGTAGATGGAGGACCCGTCCCGTTTAATGCTGAGCAGGGTGTGGCAGAGGATCTCATGGCCTCTTGCACAGTCAATGTGGAGGTGTTGGGCTCCTCTGTCCTCACACCAGAACCATGTACTGCTTGGGAGACTGTTGTGCCAGCCCCAGGAATAGGACTGGTTAAAACACCGGCCTGTCTTGGGACAGAGGCAGTGCCACCAATGAGTCTCTCTAAATCGCCTATGTCTTCTGGCACAGCTGCAGAAGAGACCGTGCTTGAGGGGGGTGGATCCTGAGGGGCACTTGTCTGGTCTAGCCATCGGACTGCTTCCTGCACCCAGCTCTCCTCTGGATCTGCACAGAACTCCTTAGACTTCTGCGTCACAAATCTGAAGGGAGAACAGAAATGGCAACAATCACCAGAAACAGAAAGGAAAAGCTGATAAATATCCAAAGCCTGGATGATCGCAGCCCAAGGACCCCCCGGCTGCCTTGTCCTGCGCCGGACGGCTGCGTGCAGCCCTGAGTGGGAAAGTGGTGCAAGCAGTGCCCCCGCACGGGTGAGGGGTGTGTCTAGACAGCAGCGCAATTTCCTGCAAAAGTCCTGCTGAGTTCCTGGGGAATTTGTCCTGAGTGAGTAAAATGGAGTAAATGACCTTCAGGATCTGGCCCACAGGATGAAATATCCCCAGAATTAGATTCTGCAATGTCTAAATGTATGAAAATCAATAGCCATTTGCATTCAAAATCTCTTCCCTAGTAGCTTTACAGTGCTGTAATACCATGCTGATTGCTGCTCTATGTACGCTTGTGCCAGATCCCAATTGAGTTACACTCTGGATCTTACCCACAAGAACTAATGTAGGAGTTTTACACTTTCCTGCCAGAGACAACACACAATTAGACAGGCCTGTTTCTACGCCCCATGTGTATTGCCAGCAGTTACTCAGCACGCGGAGAGTGAATTCCCCAGACATTGTCTTTTGTAACTGTCCAGCAGAATGGCTCACCAAGCAGAGTCCACATCCATAGAAGAATCCCTAGATGCTTAGTGTCTGGGGGCTTGTTTGGTTTCTATGTCTCACAATGGCTCTTTTTTATGTATACGACTGCAGGCCTCTGTTCTATAACATCCCACCTGTGCTGGGAACTGGTAGGGCTAGGGACAGCAGCTGGAGGAGAGAGCTGATTAGCAACGAGTCCAGTTTTATAATGTAGGTGCCTAATGTTAATCCCTAAATCCACAGTAGACACTGTAATTCCTGCTTTAGACAACCAGGGTGTGAATCTTCACCCGTGCCAAGTCGCGGGTGCTTAACAATTGTGAAAATTAAGTCACTAGGTGCTGATTCTTAGTTGCCTGCAGTGGACAATTAGCTTCCTAAATCTGGATCCAGAGGCCTGACTTGGGGCCACCACGTTGGAAAACGACACAAACCGGTCAGAGCTGCTAACAGTTAGCACTTGCCCTTGAGGACTGGAACAGCTGCAGAGACAAGCAGGGATCCTTCAAACAGATGGGAACAGAATGGCACCACAGAGGCCCCCAGAGATGCAGGGCATGAAGTAACAGACAGACGGGTTCGGGGTGCATAACGTTCAGCTTGGCAGCACCTCGGATGGGCTTTCCCTGGGCAACTATTCCAGTACCAGCTCAAAACATGTCTTGCCACTGTCTGGCGCACAGCACAAGTTTGTTACGGTGGCATCCAGTGATGCAAGAGAGAAGGCAAGTAGCTCATCCTCAACACACTGCCCTTGGCTCCCTGTGTGGTTTGGCTTGGTTCTTTGCCTGCCAATCAGAAGCTATGACTTTCCTTGGCAGCTCCCTGCCTTGGCCCATTTATCTTGCATTGGGTTTTGGGGGGAGGGTTTGGCTTAGTCCAATATAAACCTGATTAGTGCCAGGTTTAACCTCCCTGCTCCCAGTTAGAATAACATCCCAGAGTCCACCTAAGAGCAAGAGAAACCCAAGTCCATGCCATGACAAATTCAGACATCTTCCATGGCATAGTCATTAATTCGAGAGCCCTGCTGATGAATACGCAACAGTTGTACCATTTCCTTAGTAGGCTCTCCAGGGAAGACTCTGGACTTTAAATACATCCATAAAGCAGCGCTGCATATACACAGAACACTCCCCAGCAAAACGAGGCTAAGGGTGTGGGTCCGGGATGCAGACAAAAAGCTGGGTGTAGACTCCACGAGAACATCTGGTGATGCTGAAGCCCCTTGTGCTCTGTTCTGATGTAGGAATCCTGTGAAGGAAAAGACCAGAGTTCCTGGGGGTGAAATGGATTCAGGAGAAGAATAAGGAGGACCTTCCCTGCCTACAGTAGATAAGTAGTTAGCTGGGCTGGCTCCAGCCATAGACTCATGAACAGTGTCTCTTTCATCACCACTCCTGTGGCTGACAGAACCCGTGTCCCCTCCAGGAGGTGTGGGTTGGGCAGTGGAACCTCTGGTGGCATCAGCAGTACCTTTCAGAACAGTTGTGGGTTTCCTGGTAGAGTTCTCACTGGCCTGTCCCAGAGATTCAAGGCCTATAGCAGGCTTGCTGGGAACCGATTCTAGTGGAGCCGTTGTTGTCAGGAATGCAGGGGATAACTCCGCAATCTCCGTGCCATTTACAACGGCTGTAGCATCTGCAGTAAACGCACTAGGAGCACTGGCAAGTACATCAGCTGTTTGATTTCTACTAGATTTGTATGTCGGTCCTGTGGGACTCTCAGGTCGTTTGACGGCAGTGGTGGGATCTGCAATGAATCTACTGGGGACGGTGGCAGATACCTCAGTAGCTGGACTCATGGCAGAATCTGTGGACTTGTTTGCAGAGTCTACAGATCTCATGGAACCCTTGCTGCCATTGGCAGTAGGCTCAGTATAGATAGTAGATGGAGGACCCGTCCCGTTTAATGCTGAGCAGGGTGTGGCAGAGGATCTCATGGCCTCTTGCACAGTCAATGTGGAGGTGTTGGGCTCCTCTGTCCTCACACCAGAACCATGTACTGCTTGGGAGACTGTTGTGCCAGCCCCAGGAATAGGACTGGTTAAAACACCGGCCTGTCTTGGGACAGAGGCAGTGCCACCAATGAGTCTCTCTAAATCGCCTATGTCTTCTGGCACAGCTGCAGAAGAGACCGTGCTTGAGGGGGGTGGATCCTGAGGGGCACTTGTCTGGTCTAGCCATCGGACTGCTTCCTGCACCCAGCTCTCCTCTGGATCTGCACAGAACTCCTTAGACTTCTGCGTCACAAATCTGAAGGGAGAACAGAAATGGCAACAATCACCAGAAACAGAAAGGAAAAGCTGATAAATATCCAAAGCCTGGATGATCGCAGACCTGGGAAGCTCATGCCACCCTGGCAGAAACTAGTGAAATTAAATTTCCCATTGCCGCCTGAAAGTTAAACAGAGCCATCTTTTGTGGGTAGAAATGCAGGCAATAGGGATCTAATCAGTTGGGCGTTTGAATCATCCTTTGATCTGACGAACCGTTTCCTGAGGATAGACTTTCCTTTTCCCATTCACTGGCAAAGTAATTATTTTTAAATGGAGCAGCTGACGCAATTATATCCTGAGGACGTTGAAATGAAGTTTAAGGGGCTGACCGTGTAATCACCTATCGGGTCGGATCCTGATCCCACTGAAACTGGAGGGAATTTTGCCTCCAAGTAGAATGTGAGCATGGCCAGACTGTAACTCCTAAAGCACAGTCAGGCTTGTAAAATGGCTGCTAATGTCACAGGGCTCCATTCTTGGGCCTCACTGCCGCCAGGTTGTTATTTATTACTTAGTAGCTACAGGCCCCTCCTGAGCTCCTGGCTCCCCTGTGCTTGGTGTTGTACGTGTGCAGGCCATGGTCCAAGTAAGAGGCCTATGATCTGAATGCACAAAGCGGATCGAGAGTGGGAGGGACAGAGGCAGGCCACTGGCCAACCAGGGAACAGAACTCAGCTTTCCGGGCTAGAGCTAAAGGGTTCAGACTCTGCAGTTGTTCGGAGAACGTCCGCTTTCCCTGGTCAGGGGTGAGTTTTTGTCAGGATAACTACACCCCCAACTCCGGGTGTAGACAGCGCTGTGCCCAAGGGTGGCCTTTGCCCACAGACTAAGCTACTGCTTCTCAAGGAGGTGGGCTCCCTCCAGGCAGCATCTTCCCTAAGCACAACGGCAACGCTGCTGCAGCGCTGTAGGTGTGGACAAGCCTTGGTCCCCTACCTGTAAAACAGGGCTCATAATCTTGCCTTTGTTCTGCCCTTTGCCCATCTGGTCTGTTTAGCTTGCAAACTGTTCAAGGCAGGGACAGCCTCACTAAGTCTGCATGTGTACTCCTGTGACGGGGCAGGCGCCGCGTCCGCGCTCCCCCGCACGGAGCCGGGGTCGGGTTGTCAGGATAACTACACCCCCAACTCCGGGTGTAGACAGCGCTGTGCCCAAGGGTGGCCTTCGCCCACAGACTAAGCTACTGCCTCTCAAGGAGGTGGGCTCCCTCCGGGCAGCATCTTCCGTAAGCACAACGGCAACGCTGCTGCAGCGCTGTAGGTGTGGACAAGCCTTGGTCCCCTACCTGCAAAACAGGGCTCATAATCTTGCCTTTGTTCTGCCCTTTGCCCATCTGGTCTGTTTAGCTTGCAAACTGTTCAAGGCAGGGACAGCCTCACTAAGTCTGCATGTGTACTCCTGTGACGGGGCAGGCGCCGCGTCCGCGCTCCCCCGCACGGAGCCGGGGTCGGGTAATTTTTTCGGAAGAAGCTTTTCCAAAATTTGGCTCATCTACACTGGGCCTAATTTTGGAAAAGCCTTCTCTTTCGGAACAGCCCTTCTTCCTCGTGGACTGAGGAAGACAGGCATTCCAAAAAAGCGCATCTGCTATTCCGCAAAAAAAAGAGGAAGAGCAGATGTGTTCCCAAGATGCAGCAGAGTTTTTCTGGGATGTCTCCCAGAAACCCCCCGTAGTGTAGACATAGCCTTAGAGTGGTTCACTGTCCCATGTAGTGTTGCTTTGACCATTTACAGTGAGTGATAAGAGCAAGTGAGCACGACAGCCTAAGCTGAAAGCCTGCTGGCTTTATAGCTCAGGCTGTAGAGGCTCCTACACAGAGATCTCAGGTTCAAATCCCCCAGGGACAGTTACATATACAGTACTTAACACAATGGGACCCTAATCTTTTTTGAGTCCAGTAGGCAGTTTCCAGAATGTGCTTTGCACCAAAACAAGGGTCTTTGTAGGATTGTGACCTATTTATTCTCAGAGTTGTAAATTCAATTAATCCTTTCTGAATTCAATATTTAAAAAGCACCACATGGTGGGAAAATACTTACATGACAGCAGCTTTAGGACATGATGGTTCTGTCTTCTCGTAGGACTTCAGCAGTGCCTGGGGTATTCTTTTTGAAAAATTCGTACATATCTTTTTGCACTTCACATATGCCTTGGGTTGTGCTACAGCAAAAAAGAAAAAAAAACACCATAAGTATCAGCTCATGCTCTGGATGTAATGAAGCTGCAAACAATCGCCTTTCTCCTCCAAAGCCTGCCTCCAAATTGGGCAATCTTCAGCTGAAGAGTGCTAATCCATGGAACAAACCAGAACAAGGAACAGTCTCAGCAGGGCTAAGGAAGTGCTGTAAGAAGGGAGGGAAAGTCCCTAGCAAAAGCATGTGAAATCAAAAGATTCTTGAGACCACTTATTAAATCAAGAGCCCCAGGGGGCTCCGGGTGGATGGGGACTCCACCGAGACTCTTGCTTGTGGGACGTCAGTTCCGATCTGAAGGGCATCGCTAAATGCTGCAACCGCTGCGCTGTGGGTAAAACCAGGCAACCGCCATGCTCACCAAATAAAGGACAAAACCATCCCCAGCGTGTGCAGACTTTGCACAGTGAAGTCAGACATAGTGTGATGGACCAGCCCTCCGCCTCAAAGGAGACCTGCACAGCGCTTTCCAAGGATTAGCCTGGGAGCTTAAATTTACAGCTACACTAGACACAAAAAATCTCGGACTGAATAGAGGTTCATGGCTCATGACAACAATCGATAACTCACTAACAACCCTCTCCCCGGTTCCCTGCCTCTGGCTGGAGTGCAGTTAAAGGGCCCCTTCGCCTCGAAGGGTCCCTGGAGACATGTGATAATGCCTTACGCTAAGCAAGCTGCTCCGTCTGTGACTCTTCCATTTCCCGGACGGGAACAAGAGCTCTGTGTGAGCGCCAAAGCTGGTCTTGCTCACCCACAAAAGCTGGTCCAATAAAAACTCCCCCACCTCCTCCATCTAATGGCTGTGGTGGCATTTGTGAAACTAATTGGTCTCGGTCCAGCTCCTGGCGGCCCGTCTTTGTCACCAAAGCGATTGCTGCGGTAGCTGTTGATTGGCACTCTCAGAACACAGGACACGGAGGAGGGTGGCTCTCCTGGTCAGGGCTGAGATGCCATCACTGATGGGGCAGCATGAGGTGAGCTTGGGCTGCGGGTGCCAATGCTAAGCTGTGCATATCCTTGTCCCCAGCAATGGCTCCCATGCAAACAAAAGCCCACCCCTCCTGCCCCGCTAGGCTTTAACATAAGTGCCCCTGGTCATGGAGGCCAGGCCTTCAAAGCAGATGGGAGGGTGCTCCCCGGAGAAATAGATGTAGAGGTGCTAGCTCCACTTCAGTGCGTATGCTAAACATAGCCATGAGGCTGTGGCGTCCAAGTACGCCCCATGGGGTTGGGCAGATGTGGACTCGGGCAGCTAGCCTGAGAAGGCCTTTGTGCCACACAGTTTTTGATGCTCTAGCTCGAGCAGAGCTCACATGCGCACATGTACTACCCAAGTTAGGCAGCACCGTCCCAGCTGCTCTGCAGATGTACTCGGAGGTCTCGCTGAAATCTGGGGAACGGTGCAAAGACAACACGTCTGGAGAACATCTATGAGTTTTCTCCTAACTATTGCCCGTGCCTAGCTATTCGCATGAGAGCTGTAGACACATCACAGGTAAGTTTTACGACATGGGGTGTATCTAACCTACATGGCTCCATCGATGGAGTCATGTAGATTAGGCTGATCAGCAAAGGGAAATGAAGCCACGATTTAAATAATCGCGGCTTCATTTAAATTTAAATGGCTGCCGCGCTGAGATGACAAACAGCTGATCAGCTGTTTGTCAGCTCAGCGCGCTAGTCTGGATGCTCCCGCGCTGACCTGAAAGCCGTTTATTGACCTCCCCATTATGCCTCGTAGGATGAGGTTTACCAGGGAGGTCGATAAAGGGCTTTCATGTCGACAGGGGAGCGTCCAGACTGCCCCGATCTGCCGACAAAGAGCTGATCGGCAGAGTGGGGCAGCCATTTAAATTTAAATGAAGCCGCGATTATTCAAATCACAGCTTCATTTCCCTTTGCCAAACAAATAAATCTACATGGCTCCGTAGACAGAGCCATGTAGTCTAGATGCGCCCATGGTTACGGGAAACGTGATGCTGCAAAACAACTGTAAAAATAGCACCCCACTCACTACGGGCCAATTGGTGCCGTCCTTCCTTGCACTGGGGAGAGTTTATTCATGCAAACAACCCCATTGACCTCAATGAGCTACTTACCGGCTGTCCAATATAAACAGGGTTTCACAATCAAGCATTGTTTTTCCCTGTGTGCTCTGGAGTTAGAGCCCTTATCAGCAAGTTCCTGTTTTATCTTAGGCTCTGCAGAGTCATGACAGAATGGAGGTGTTGGAATCTATTCTGGATCACATAGCATTGAAAGATTCCCCATGGGTCTGACTCAGCATGGCCCCTGGCAGTCAAGAGCAGGAGTGATTTCTACCATCTGGGGTCCAGGCCATCAGCATTTGATGTGTAACTGAACAAATCTGCTCTCAGGAGACAAGGTGGGTGAGGTGATACCTTGGGTTGGATCACCTGTTGATGAACAAGACGAGCTTACGCAGCGATCTTCTGCTGCTCTCAGATTGGAGGGTATAAAGTCCAAGCCCCTCAATATTACTCTTACAGAGTGACTCTTTAATCAAGCACTGCTCTTTGCCAGGTGTCAGGGCGGTTCCCCTCTCTGGCACTCTGAGTGCAGAAGGTGGGGGCCCGCAAGAGACCACAGATACCTTGCCTCTATAGGCTCTGCTTCCACAAACTCCCCAGAGTCACAAATTCACTGACTTTTGGAGGGGTAGCTCCTACCACCAAGTGAAACAAAAGAAAACCCCTTTCTCCTTGAACCCAGGCAGAAAACACTTGGACTTGTTCCCGGGGGTACCTCAAACTCCTTTACTACAAGAGAGAGTGAAAAACCAAGAGAAATCAAACCACAGTCTCTAGTAGCTGACCTCTTAGTCTGAGGCAGGCAGACACACATGCGCAGACAGACCTCCTGTTTCTTTCCAGGTCACAAGACTCAAGTCATTGCCTTAAAAAAGGTGATTGTATTAACAAAACAAAAAGCTGTATTTGAGAAAGCATCCTTGGATTCTAGGTCTT